GGTGGTGTCTGCCCTACAACGCCACGGTGTGGTGTGGGAGGGATGCCTGCTGAAGCCCAACATGGTGGTGCCTGGCGCGGAGTCCGGGAAGAAGGCGACGCCCGAGGAGGTGGCACAGTACACCGTGTCAACACTCGCGCGTGTGCTTCCCCCAGCCCTGCCCGGCGTGACCTTCCTGTCGGGCGGTCTCAGTGAAGTGCAGGCCACGGAGTACCTGAACGCCATGAACCGTTGCAGTCTACCACGTCCGTGGAAGCTGACCTTCTCGTACGCACGCGCCCTGCAGTCGAGTGCCCTCAAGGCGTGGGGCGGCAAGGATGCCGGCATCGCGGCTGGTCGCCGTGCGTTTATGCACCGCGCGAAGATGAATTCTCTTGCGCAGCTCGGTCGCTACAACCGCGCCGATGATGACAAGGAATCGCGGTCGCTCTACGTCGCTGGCCACTCCTACTGATTGCCACAGGCTGCCCTAACTTACAATTGTCCGAAAATCGTGCATTTTTTGTGAATTGTTTTTGTAAGTGGTGAATTATGATAGGATTTATTTGCCCTTTTTTTGGATGAGTGGAGTGGGGTAGAGTGGATCGGCACTGTGATTTTGTGGGCAGGTCGCGTGGGATATATGGTGTGAAGCTGACCATGGTATGGGATTTTTCTTATACGTGCCTGCATATATATATATATATATATATATATGTTTATTTATTTTGGTTACTTGTAAGGTTGAGGTTTTTTTAATCATATTTATGACTTTTTTTGGTAATTGCGTTAAGTTCTTGTAGGCGAAACTGTTTTTGAGTAGTGGATAAAAGGGGTAACCGTAGAAGATGGGTGCAGCACGCTTGATTGGCGTTGACTGTTTGTGATTTTGGTAATAAGGAAACCGGAGTCGGGGTTGTGAAGAAGCGTATCTGGTATATTGTACAACTGTAGACTCTGCCTGGTGGAGGTTGTGTGCGTTTAATCGTCATATCTGGGTGTCGTCGTAATGCAGTTGAAAGAAAAAAAAAAACATATTTTTTTGTTGTTGTTTTTATTGTTGACCTTTTGATGCGTTGTTTTAGCTAAGCCGCTTTCATTTTTCTTCAGTGCTGGGGATGGATGTTGTCGTGATTTCATCTGTCATAGGTAACACTATCACAACTGTCATATTTCTCTTTTGTTTTTTTTTATATATTTTGAACGAATGTGCGTCTGTATATATATATATTGGTGTTTTCACTAACGGCGTGGACCGCTGGAAATAAATCAGTAGACTATAATTAAGATTTCGGCAACTGATAACCGGGCACAACCTTCAAGCAGTCGATATTGCGCTGATGGGAAAGCCGAAATGGAATGACGGGCAGCTTTGAGAAGCTACGGCAGTATCTCCAAGCGATTTATACTGCTGGACATAATACGGAAGAGGAAAAATCTTTCAGATTCTTTTAACTTCAGAAGGCGAAGTTTCTTTCCAGTTTTGCCTTATTGGAGGCCTGTTGAATAGTTATACCATGGGCTTTGTCCCCATCTACGCCTTTCTCTACCTGACCTCAACATAATGCTCCCTGTACAGGAGCGAGGTCGCCTGCATCATTGTTTTGGACGCTCACTGTTGGATATATTGTTTGGTGTCTGCTGCCCTTCAGGGAAGCTTGCCGAAACCTTTGCGAAGGTGGTGGGTCACACTCCGCCGTTCCCCTTCTACTCAAGCAAGATGGATGCAGTGTATCGCAAGGTCATCCTCGGTGGCTACCGCTATGACACAAGGGGGATTGAACCACTGTTTCCGTTTGGCTATGGCCTGAGGTGCACCGGGTTTCAGTTCAGCAACCTGGTGGTTGAGGTGAAGCACGAAGCTGCCCACAACATCTCTGTATCCGTGGCGCTGAAAGTGAAGGACACACGGAAGGGGACCGGCAAGGAGGTTATGGGCCCTGCGAAGGGGAAATAAAGGAGTTTGCGAAGGTGTTCCTGCAGTCCGATGAGTCGAAATGGGTGGCATTTGGGCATGACAGACGTTTCTTCTTATATTGTGACGTGGAAAGTCTGCTCCATTTGTCGCTTTGGTATTGTGTCGATGACGAAGAAATGGTGAAATTTCTCGCAAAGGCGCGTCAGGCCGTTTCAGCAGCGTAGACGTGAGACAGTCGCCTGCACCGACGTACAGCCACTAACTCCAAGATGGTCAACCAGTTTCTTCGAAAACGCAATCGCATTCCTTTTTTTTTCTCTTTTTTTCTCTTCTCTTCGTTTGTTAATCTCATTGAACTGACTTAATAGCAGTATATCCGCCCTGTAAGGGGTCTCTTCTTGTTTTGCGATCACTGCGCTCCTCTTTTAGAAGGTGGGGGGGGGGAGGTCACGTGGTGTGCGCTTCCCAACCAAAACATTTTTTTTCAGTGTTGTTTTTTGTTTTATTTATTATTTTTCTGATACCTGCTTTGGTGTGCATGTTTGGGAAAAAAGTTACTGGTGCTCGTGTGAGGGGTGCCACTAACACACCCACCATTGTCCCTCTCATTGCGCCGCAGAAGAAGGGCTCTGGCGCCGTCTTCGGTGCGCGTTTTGCTGGTGAGGCATGTTCATGTTTTACCTCACCTTAATTTTATTTACGAGTGCCGTCCGCCGATGTGGCGACCAGGTGAAGGTTGGGCCATGCGCACGAGCTTTTTGGTGTGAAGAAGCATGATTTCAGCTGACGGAGCGGCGGTGACGAGTGGCGTGGCAGGAACAAGCCGCACCGGAAGTTGTACGGCTGCTGCACCTAGGGGGCGGTTGAGCATCCGTGGCGCCTTCGTGTTGCCCGGGACCTGTATGTATTTCCTCTGCATTGAGGGGGTCTGCGTGGGCGTGCAATCTTCGCCGTGGGAGAAAACCTTTGGTGGGGGACGACAGGAGTCTGGGCGCTGGGCGTCCTCGAATTTTCCATGTCTCTGTATGGCTGGTGCGGCCTCCATTGCTGTGCAGGATCAACGGCGAGGTTTCCCTCAGCCCTGCCCGGCGTGACCTTCCTGTCGGGCGGTCTCAGTGAGGTGCAGGCCACGGAGTACCTGAACGCCATGAACCGTTGCAGTCTACCACGTCCGTGGAAGCTGACCTTCTCGTACGCACGCGCTCTGCAGTCGAGTGCCCTCAAGGCGTGGGGCGGCAAGGATGCCGGCATCGCGGCTGGTCGACGTGCGTTTATGCACCGCGCGAAGATGAGCTCGCTCGCAACTTTTACTGCGTGTGCGTTTTTTTTGTTTTTGCATAGAGTTGTCTTGCAGCGTGTGTTCGCCTTGTTACTTTTTTTTTGTTCTATTTGCTATTATTTTTATTGATTTTTGTATTCCATTGTATTTGTCGGTTGTTATACATACATACGTACTTATAATCTTTTAGTTTGGGTTTGGTACGTATTTATTTTTGGTCGTTGTGAAATATTATTATTATTTTTTTGATTCTGTTCTTTTTGTCTTTCCCATGTTTTTTTGTTGAGTCAAAGTGGTGATGATGGAGGATCATGTGTGTCCAGCGACGTTGCATTTGACGACGGAGCAGCTGCAGGATCAGATTCGACGTCTGACATATCGGCCACCCCCAGTTGTGGTGCGTGACCCGTTTCCGGTGTGTCCATCCGTGTCACGGTCGAAGGAAGAGATTGATGCTGTTATTCAGCGTGTCTTCTATGATTCCTGTCAGCGCCATGAGCAGGCACTTCTTGAGGCAAAAGAAAGAGAGGAGAAGGAGTGGGGCTTTGTCTCGAAGGAGCTGACAAGCGATGAGATGGATGATGCGGTGAAGCGTCTGTACTACGAAGCCTTGGAAAGGCGGAATGCGTCACGTAAAGAAGCAAATGAGCGGTTTTTATTTAAACCAATGAAAACTCTTCCCAAGGTCCCTCTGAAAAAGTTCGTGGAAGACATGTACCTGCAAGGGATGAAGCGAGAGAAGGACAAAGAACAAAAGCTGTATGAGAAGTACATACTGCCGACGGAAATCAGAAAAACGTACATCTCAAGAGAAGAAGCGGAGGCAAGTGGTGCGCGGCTATCGACCAGAAGATAATGGAAGTATTTTTTTTTTTTCGCGGTGTTGGACTGTCGTTGGCGTTTTTCTTCTTTGTAGATAATCTGTTGAGGTTTGCGTGCGAACTGGTTAGTTTTCCCATATATATATTCTATTGGTGTGCAATTTTCCGTGTGAATGCAGGCCCTACCAATAGATGGTGTTTTGCGCTGCAGTGTAGTTTGGACAAGACCTGTAGGGGAGTAGCACTGAAAGCTCAGTTGCCTTTTACTCGTTGTTGCCTTTCTCTTGATGTTACTTTACTCTATTTTACTGGCGCTTTTACTTCGACGCCGTCCGCGCTCGTCGTAGGCTTTTGTTTTTCTTTGTACGGCGGCCCACAATAGTGTTGTGCGATTTTGTGATTTTTCTTTTATGGCGGATGAGGGAATGTTGCAAACAACGAGCAACGTTTTTTTTTTTTGGTTGGCGAGCGTGTGATGGGGAAATGGTGTGGTGTTGCGTTTATTTGGTAAGTATGCATCACGTCATCCCTATCAGACCCCTCACTATCAGGTTGGACGTAAGGCGTGGGCTTTGAATGTCCACCCCTCCAGAAGACAACCCGCACCGCACCTCACGAGAGGCAGGTGAAGAGCAGTTTCAGCACCCCCATCTGTCTCTAGTGCTCACGTGATGTACAGGTAATGAGGAATCGTCGTGGACTCTTTTTTTATTGGCGACTGAGTGAATATTTGCATCTGGTCGCAAAGAGAGCACAGAGGCAAATACCGTGTTTTTGCTCTTTTCTTGTCGCGTCTTTTTATTGGGGAAACAGTAGGTCATAGCCCACTTTTTCATAGGGTATGGGAGAGAGCACCACAGACGGTGACGCAGAAGCGTACCTGCGGCGTGCCTCCAAGCTGAAATGGAAGCACTTTGCCAGCGGGCACTCCTCCGTATCGCAGAAAAAAGCAGGCTTGGTGGAGGTGAAGGCTGCCGAGTGCGCTTCGAAGCTGCCCATGCGTTTGCCGATGAAGAAGCTTAAGCGTGCTCATGACAGTGATAGTGACAGCGAGAATGTCCGCTCTCCTTGTCTTGCCGCTGTGACGCCTCCGACAGCTTCTGTCATTTCTTTCTCTTCCCGTACTCCAGCCGAGAAGCCTCGCAACGGTGCGAAGATGACGTTGATGGAGAAATGGTTTCCCGGGCGAACACTGGGCAACGCTACTCTTGATGCAGCTCAGGCACCAACAATGGTCTACACGGATTTGTCAGTAGCTCGTATGAACGCCGCGCGTGAACGTCTCCTGACGTTGCGTAGTGGAGTAGAAGATGTGACAAACTATACATCAGTGAACGGCGACAGTGGCGTTGCAGGTGGCACGACTGATTGGAATTGGCTGGAATTGCGGGACGCATTGTCGCAGCTTACTTCGCGTGACGCATTTCGCACGAAGAAGCGTGTTGTGAGGGCCGTGAAGTGGTTGTCTGCTTCCAAAACTCCATTGAGAGGTGTCCCCAACTCAGCCACACCGCGGCTCTGGGAGAAATACGTGCATGAGCACGGTCCGGAATGTGGTCATGCCCCACCGCTCTCTATGTTGGTGTGGCTGGATAGCGCGTGCACAACGGCGTTATTTACTGCGTTGGTGAGCCGGATGCTTAAGTGGTATAAACAGGGAATGAAACCTGTGATGCGTACACCTTATGCCTTGAAAGAAAACGCTTTGGAAAGCGACCAAAACGCCGGTGTTGCCGATGAGGAGGAGGGAGAAGTTGATGAAGACGCTTCAGAATCGCATGACGTAAGAGAGGAAAATAAACAGGAGGCAGATGGATATCATAACCGACCAGTTTTTTTCACAAACCTACCAACACTGAATAGTGGTGGTGCCAGCGAAGAAATAATTTCTCTATTGTCTTTTCTGCGCGTTCTTATGCCTGTGGATGTGGAGGATGCATCTGGAAACGTACATCGTTCGGTTGGTTATGGGGTCTGGCTGTACGCCTGCTTGTCTGCAGTAGACACGCCACTGGATCCAGATTTAGATCGGCTAGTCCACGAGCTTTTTGGAGTCTGTTGTCAGCAACTCCGGACGTTGGGTGAGGCACACGGGATTCAGGGCGGAAACCGCGGGGCCATTGTTCACGCCTTTTCCCCACGCAGCGGTGATAACACCTTACGTAGGGAGTACAACGCAATGCATGATGTGAGGAGAGAGGATGTTTTGGCGCTCCACACTATTATTATCATTCTTGCGAAGTTGTTTCGACAGAATCAAAACCGTTTAATTCCTCTTTAGGAGCATCGGAATACCAAGAAGAAGGGGACACTAAATATGCACTCAAGGACAAATGCCACAACAGTAACACGGACAGACACGGAAGCACTCACATGCGCATACACATACGCAAGCCTAAAAATGAATACAAATTCATTGTGGTTTAAGAGAAGCGCGGAATGAGAAATGTAAGTTTCACACTTTTTTTTTATCCTTCTTCCTGTGCTTCGGCTGAGGAGTTGGGTCTCTACGGCCACTAATGAGGCTGTATTTTATATGGCACCTTGGCTTCCTTGTTGCTTACGTTTTCGCTATTTCACTGTTGTTGTTGTTGTTCATCCCTTGCTTGTCTTTGTTGTTATGTTTTTATGGTTACTCTGTTCTCGCACCATCGGCTGCTGGTTATTGATGCGGTTGTATTGGCTGTCTTTTGCTTTTTTGGTTTTGTTTACCGATTATTATTTGCGTTATTTGTGGGATTGGGGCTTCCAGAGCATTACAAGTAGGAGGGAAAGGGGAGGGGGGAAAGAGCGTGTCTTTAGGAATAGAGAGAGAAAGCGAAGACCGTCCAGGATGTACATTCTTCTCGTGTGCGCGGACCTCTTTGGGGAGAAGTGCAACTTGGAGCTTGGCTTCTCTTCCATGCCGACAATTGCGGAGCTGCAGCGAAAAGTGTTGGAGGTGTTTCAGATGGAGGCCAGCATGCGACGACCGCCAGGGTACCCTGTGGCGAATTTCACCATTGTTCGCGTTCAGATATACGACGATGCGCTCCTGAAGTGGGTGGATCTCGTTTCGCAGACCCAGATGCATGAGTACGACCAGTTGTATGTCTTTCAGCCGCAGACATCATGGCACACAGATGTGCAGAAGGATCTTCCACCGCCTCGTCCCCCATCGCAAAGTTGCGCCGCATCTGCGGTTCACTCGATGGTGAATTCGCCGTATAAAAGTGCGGCTCCTTTAAGAAACGCGTCGTATAGACACGATACCCCGGGCGCATCTACAAATAGCAGCATTGTTTTTTCACCCACAAAGATGCTGTTGGAGGAGCAACGACGACGGGAGTATGCGTTGCAGGAGGAATTGAATCGTGTTCGTGGGGAGTCAGCGCGGCTTGAGCGCGAGCTCAATATTGAAGAAGAAGATAATCGGGTACGTGGGCAGGAACAAAAAATTCGCATCCTACGTCAAAAAGAAGAGGAGGTTCGTCGTCAGCGAGAGATACTTATGCGCTGTGAAGAGGAGTTCCGCCATCTTCAGTCTGACACCGTGCAGTATTAATCTTAGAAATGAACTTGTATAGAGTGTTGTGTCTTGATGGCATTTGTTATTTTGTTTTACGTGTCTGGTGCGCTTTTGTTTGTATCGTACAGACATGTTTCTTCTCTTTTTTTTTATTGTTTTCGCCTTGTATGTGTATTGTCTTTTTTTTTATTTATTCTGTGTGTACTGGGCAATATTGTTCTCTCGACTCTACCGACACTAGCTTGAAGGCTTCTTTGGCATCATCATCACACGGTGGTGCCGTTTTATTTTTCATACATTTATTTTTATCTTTCATTTTCTTTTGAGGACATATAGACCCCGACAACATGCGCGTGCCGCGAGAGTGTGGAGTGTGACAGAGTAGATCAGCTTTTGTCTGCTGCATCCCCACTGGAGAGGGGTTTTTTTTCTCTGTTTGCTTCCGCCTCTTGTCGCGCATATATGCGTGCGTGTGTGTGTGTGTGTGTGTATGTAGCATTTTTTTATATTATATTTTTGCGTTTGGTCCTTCTTCTTCCCGTAGCCCCGCTGGAAAACGCGAAAAGAAAGCCCCCAGGAAAAGGTCGGGTGAGAGCTCCGCGCTGCAGAGCTGCCGGCAAGCGTGAAAAGGGAGTGAAGGAGAAGTGGGGTCCCTCTAAGAAAGAACTGGGACGGACGCGTTGGCAATGTCCGTTATGCGGCCGTCATCGGAGCGGCGGCCAAAATCATCAGTGACGACTGACCTGTGGCGACGCGTCCGCTCCACCGATGCCAAACCATGGGACAGCTCAATTCATACAAACGGAGGCGGAGCTGTATCAGCGAGTGGGACGGGGCGCAGAAAGCTCGCTGCGGTAAATACGACGGCGCAGGGGACACCTCTTCGATCCTCGTACTCCACCGTGGTCGCAAATCCAGCCGCCGCATTGGTGGCCAGCGTGCCACCAATGAATGAGCCACAGGTGGAACTCATGAGTCAGCTGCAGGACGTTGTTGTCCGCCTTTCACAGAGTGCAGTGGGGGAAAAGCAGCGCCTTGCTCACATGCAACAGCGTTTGGACGCCTATGCGGCGTTGGTGCGGGAGCAAGATCGCATGATTGATGAACTTAGAGGAATGAACATTAGACTGCAAAAGGAAAAAGATGCACTTATTTCTTTTCGACAGCAAAGCCTCAATCATGACCTCCAACTTATGAGCAACCTGGAAAACGATGGAGGGATAGATGAGGAGGTGCGGCGGGCCTACACAAAATTTGAGGGACAGCAGAGCCCTTATGGAGCGTCTTACAACGGTTCACTCGGGGCAATGACTCCTCCGTGTTCACGTGGGTTTGTACATTCCTTGGTGGCTCAGCTGCGCGACGAGCGGCGCAAACGCTTAGAGGTAGAGGAGCAGAGCAGTCGTATGATTGGGGAACAGCAAGTGACAATCCAACGACTGGAGGATCGCCTAAGACCACAAACTGTGGCACCTCGCAGTAGTTTGGCTGCTCGAATGGAAGGCTCACAAGCTTTTTACCCGAAAAAGGCGTCAAATGAAGAAGATGCATCCAATACACCTATGCATTCTTACTGCACCGAGGCTGTGTGTGAGCCCATATTGTCGACAACGCCGCATGCGACAAATCAAGATGAAGTAACTTCACAAGTACGCCCGACTGTACCTATTGTGCCACCCATTCCACTGCCAGACCGCAATAAAGAGATCGTTGTTCTTGTAAGCGATCCTTTACGACATGCAGGAAGTAACGAACAAGAGGATGCCCCAAATGTTGACGTTTCCGTAGCAATTCATGGCACAAGTTACGAAGAAGCTTCCGCCATTTTGTCTGACATTCGAAAAAGACACGGATTATAAATAAGTAGCGCTCTGCATTTACCGATTACCCTTTCTTTTTATCATATTGCCAATGATATATATATATATATATCATTTTAACCAACATCCATGCATCACTGCCTCCATTGCATACATATGTTTTGGGTTGGAGTGAGTGAGCGTGAGAGTGAGAGTGAGAGTCTCTAGTGCATTGATTATTTTGTATCTGTGCGCTGTGCATAGGAATCTTGTTTTGTTTATTATTATTTCTTCCTCTTGTTTTTTACTACACACGCACACATCTTTTTTCCGTTTTTTTTTTCCTTTCAGGGTGACACAAACCACGCAAAAGAACTGTATCCTGGCCAGTAGCAGCCATGCGAAGGGCTGTAAGACGTCTCGTTAGGCATGCATTCCAAGCCACCTCAATGACTTCCATGCAACATCATGAAAGTGGCGTTTTACGTGCTCTTTTTTGCCCTCGCCGACTTTGTTCGACGACACCGTTGGAACAGCTGATTATCAATGCCGCCCGCTGGGATGACAGCAATTATTATCATCGCCTTGGGTTTTGCGAAGAAGTGCACGATCTTAGGAGGATCAAGGAGCATTATCGCGTCCTTGCGAAACACTACCACCCCGACAATCCGAGCGCGCCACCAGACGCCAAGGCCGCCTTTCAAAGCATCAGGGAAGCGTACGAGCATGTCGCTTCCGAGGCCAAGGAAGCTCCAGGCAGGAACAAAATGGCTGAGGCTGGTTTTGAGTTCTCCGATCAGGCGAGACGGAAAGCACAGATACGCTTTTTGGGTGATGGTGTCGGCCTCTTCATGGCGATGACTCTTGTTCTTATTTACATTGTATCCAAGCACAACAAAGAACGTCTCCACGCGCGCCATTTATGGGATTTGATGCTTATATTTTTGACCATCCAATTGTTCCCAAGACTTTTGGCGGCCGCGATCCTTTACGCGTGTCACACAAACTACCTGGTGAGTTTGGCGGAATGCAAAGAACGGGCGGCGACGAGTGTGGTGTTGGAGCGACTAACAGGTGGCGATGTTTCCATTCGTGTGAATGGCATCAAAGCGGAGGTGATTGAGAATACTATTCTGCAAGTTACTACTACGCAGATGACATCGCCATCACCTGAGGCGCCAGCAGCATTGAGGACGGAAGACTCCAATGTGTTGCTTGCGCCGTCCACGTCGACAACGTTGACGTTTGATGCTGGAGTCATGTCGGTGTCGGTGCCTGGGCACCCAGGCGGTGTGACAGAGTACCGCGTCAAGGCGGTGGACATGAATAGGGTATTCGTGTTGGCTGACCTCACGTTACGCGTGTGAGGCGTTAAGGCGGACGCGTGTCTCATTTCTCACATGAAAGGCAAATAAAGCGGAGGCGAGATAAAGGAATGAACCACAGAGAAAGATGGTGGAAGAGGCAAAACAATGCCGTCGATTGCGTCTTGGTGGGGGGTCGCTGTTGTCTCCGTTAAACTTTTAGGCTGATGGAGGGTGTATCGAGACGTTTTGGATTGCTCCTCCATTGCTGTTATGTACTGCATAGCCAACCATGCGTGACTGTTACAGATGATGGTGCCCATTTCTTTCTTGTCCAAGTCTCTTCTTCACACTTGTTTTCTTTCTTCTTCTTACAATCTTTCAAAAGAAAAGAGGACTGCGTTGAGGTGGGAACCACACTAGGACGTATAAAAGACTATTTATTTATTTTGTTGATAAACAGTACTTAATTTATTTCTTTGTTTTTGGCTGTGGGTGTGTGACTGTGGGCTTGAATAGGCATCAAGGCAAATTCTTTGAGCGCAGAAACACCATCATGACGACTACGCTTCCTCCGGCACAGCAAAAACTGTTTGAAAAACTTGGTCATGAGTTTGATGCCCGTGAGTACGCAAAGGCGCTACGCTCTGCTGATGCTATATTGGCCGTAATCCCCAATCATGCCGATACCATTGCCATGAAGGGTCTCACGCTACATTATCTTGACCGCAGGGAAGAAGGACATTCAGCCATTAAGGAAGCTATTGAGCTCAACACTTATTCCACCATGGCGTGGCACTCGCTTGGACTATGTCACAGGGCTGAGAAGAATTATCCTGAAGCTATAAAGGCGTTTAAACAAGCGCATCAAACGGACCCTTCCAACCCAAATGTTTTACGAGATTTATCGTCTGTATGTGTTCAGGTGCGAGATTGGGAACAATTTGTGGAGACACGCCAAAAAATGGTGACATTAAAAGCGGGTGTTCGTGCCAATTGGGTTGCTCTTTCTTGTGGACATCGCATGCTGCGACACACAGAACTGGCAGCTGCAGTAATTGATGTCATGATGGCCATCATGGACGCTGGAGATAAAGCGGTAGAAAAGAGTGAGGTGTTTCTCTATCTTGTAGAACTGGAACTCTCTCATAACGCGCCAGCACGAGCTCTTGAACTCCTAAAGAAGCATGATGCCGACATTGTGGACGAGGAAGAGAAGCTGTTCCTACGTGCAAAGGCACATGCCCTGCTTGGTCAAAAAACAGAAGCAGAAAAACGTTACATGGAACTTATCGGTCGCGGGGTATCAGAGGCAGACTGTATTGCGGCCATTGCCCGCCTCCGTAAGATTCCACTTGATGCTCATCGATGTCCGAAGCGTGACGAGGAAAAGTATCTTCAAATTCTTCAGCAAGTCATTGACGTCTACCCAAAATGTGATTACGCTCGGCGACATCTACTGGATTTTGTCCCCATTGCAGAGTTTAGGAAACGTCTTTGTGATTACGCCTCGGTGTTTATTATAAAAATGATTCCATCACTCTTCAGTGTTTTGAAGTCACTTTATAAGGACTCTGAACGTGCCAAGGAAATTGGCACGGTATTTTTGCAATGGGAAGATGAAATTAAGAGGAATGATTTTTCAAGCTTTGGTGGAAAGCCAAATCCGTCGTATATCTTGTGGATTTGGATGTATTTGTCGTCACATTACTGTCGTCTGCACCAGTTTGATCAGGCATTTCATTACATTAACCTTGCCATTGATCACACACCAACCGTGGAACTACTGTATTTAATGAAGGCCAAAATACATGCAAGAAACCAGGAGTTTGACGAGGCAGCTGTAAATGCGGACAAGGCACGCCAATTGGATTTGCAAGACAAGTATCTTAATGGGAAGGCCGCCAAATATTTTTTCCGTGCCAATCGTATTGAGGAAGCTGAAGCGCGAATGCAAATGTTTTATAAACCCAGTGCAGTACCTGGGGACACGTACCTCACGGCACTGGAATCCCAATGTGCTTGGTACGAGCGTGAGGTGGGTGATGCCTTTTTCCGAAAGGGAGATTACATTTCCGCGTTGGGCAACTACCTCATGTATGAGGAACACCACAAGCGTAATCATGCGGAATTACTAGACTTTCATAATTATGTTTTTCGACGGTGCACAATGCGGGCTTGGTTCGATGTCTTGGCTCGCGATGATGACCTTAATGGAAATAAGTTTTTCTTAAAACTCTGCCCACGTATCGTTCGCACGTATTTAAAGGTGCATGAGGAAGGCGAGGAGGCCGTACGTGCGAAACATGTTTCTCGCCCCGAACTTGCGCCTTGCTCTGATGTGGAGGAAAATAAGCGTTTGACGCAGCTGCGCAAGGAGTATTACTTAGGTGACGTGGATCTTTCCAACCCACTTCAAAAAGCCGAACGGTATCTGCTTCCCTATCTCAGCCACAATTTGTCCTCAGCAGAGGCGCACGTGTTGGCCTTTGAGTTTTACACCGCGGTGCGGCGGCCACTCTTTGTGGCTCGTGAGTTGTTGTCATTGGCCAAATTAAAGGATGCAGACACGATCGACCGTATTGTTTCCTTTGAGCGAGGCCTTTTTGCGGAAAGTGCCTCAGAAATGGATTCTCGCGTGAAGAATGTCATTGATGAGGTCTTGGCCAGCGCGTGGGAGAAGCTAAAGGAGGGGTGAAAGCGGACGACGAAGACGCAACCAAGAGGTAACGCAAAAAAAAAAGAGTGAGAGTAATCAGGATGAGCCCATTCCCTCCTTTTCTTCCGCTTGACAAATGAGGGTGATGTGGTGTTGGGGAGTGCGGCGTGCGGTGAAACCTGAGAGGAAAGAAAAGGAAACGCAAAGGAGAAACAAAAAACAACAAATAGCGGTGACGATGGCGCACATAAATAATCGTGGAGGGAGAGCTTCCTCGAATTCAGCTAATAACTCAAGGCGATATCCATCTTCTTTTATTTATACCCAGGCCTCTTCCCCGCCGACGATTTTGAAGGGTGGCAAAACAAGCCATTGCCAGCATTGTTGTTAATAGTGCTACTTCGCTTTTGCGCAATGTGGTCGCGCCCTGCGGTTTACCCACTTCTCCCCTACCTTGTTGAAGTAGAGATGTTGTGGTTGTTGTTTTTTCACACCTTTTTTGTTGTTGTTCGTTTACAAGGGGCCATAAATGAAAGATACAGGAAGCGACATGTAGAAAAGACTTTAACACGTTTTGTTACACCCTTTTTTTTTTGCTGCCTATGGGGAAAAGAGGGCGAAGAGAACCGGGAGGGTGAATCGCCGTGGTGATTCTGCCAGCCACCTATAGCGGTACTAGCGCCCCCTACCCCGTATTTGCAAAGGAGGGGGGTACAGAGACCAAGCACCGTTTTCGCCACCGGGACATGACTGCTGCAGGGATCACGGCATCGGCCACAGTGACGGAGCAGAAGCGCCTCGCTGGGGTCGCGTGTTGCAGTGCAGTCCGCAGCGCCGCCAGCATCGCGCGGCTGCTTAATGGCGGTGTGGGTGGGGTGTTCTGGCCCTTGGTTGCGGGGGTTGCAGGTCTCGCTCAGGCAAGGGCCGGGTCGCCGCCCCACCCGAGCGGGCGGTTTCGGCTTGTCAGCGTTTCGGCACTGCGGTATTGCTCGCCCCTGTCGAGGCGGCAGTGTGTCCATTCCCACCTGCGGGGGGCTGTGGATGGCGGTAGGAATGGAGCTGGCGGTGTTTCCGGCGTGGGGTTGGAGAAGCTGCCCTGCGCAGGGGCCGAGGCGACTGCAGTGGGTTGGGGTCGCGATACTCCACCTGGATCCCGCGGTGAGATCAGTGCGCGACGGCGCAGTGTGAGGGGCTTCCAGGTGGCCAACGCCGGCGGCTGCGCAGGATTGGTCGGCGGACGCTGCGGCTCGGCGCCCAACACCATTGCCGTGTCACTCCCAA